ATGTTTTCACATTAAAAAATTAAACTTTCAACACAGCTTTTAATATTAAAAGATAAAAATGTATTAAAAAAAAGGGGGCTAACCTGGCCCGACCCGCAACCTACTCGGCGGGCCGGACTGGGCCAGCCAATCCCCAAAAAATGGCGGCCTAACCGGCCTGCCTTTGTTGGCGGGCGGGTTAGGACCGACCCGCCAAATTTAGTAACCCGGTCGGGTCGGGTCACTTTTCCACCTCTACTCAGCGGCGATCACCAGCGCATTTACTCTCTTAGTTTTGTTAAGTCATACTGGCAAGGGGTTCAAAGTAAATACCCATATGACAGGAGGTTTTAAGTGAGGATCCCTCCAAGGAATTTATGTTCTTGGTGGCTGGAGCAAGCTATGCTTAGGTTGTTTGTATTGGCTCATGGTTACTTGTGTACTGAAATTTTGGGCCTAAACAAGGCTTTCTTCCTCCAATGTTAGCTAATTGAGTTGATAACCAGAGAATGAAAGAAAGAGCTCTATTTAATTGATGGTAATTCATGAGCCCTTGATAACTTCATTTATGGCCTCAGTAAGTACAATTTTTCTATATATAATCTATTTAACACTAACCATATTCATACTCCAGCAATAAGCACTTCAGGACTTTTGCAGAAGCACATGTAATTAAGCAACTTCTACAATTTCAAAAGCCAAAAAGCAAATTCCACTAACATCTGTAATCTGCCAACTTTACATCCACTTGCATTACCTTTTGCAACTCAAAAACACATTTGACCCACTGCCTCAATCAAAAGCTTCTTTTTTCATATCACTTTCTTATTCCACTAACAGATTTATTTGAACAAACCACCTCCTTACTCTCCATCTTCTTTTCTCATTACTTAACTCACAGTTGTTTTCTCAAAGCACTTTCGTCTCAAAATGAATTCCCTTCCACCTCCACCTCACCTCCCCTTTCCCCCACCATCACCACTTACGCCGCCTCCACCTCCTCCACCCCTTTCACAACCAACACCACTTACGCTGCCACCCGCAAAGCAGGCCACTCAAGCTCTCTTAATTAAATTGTCATCCAAAGCCGTCTAAACAAAACAACATAGTCCACTTAGCTGCACAAAATCCTGACTCATAAGATCAACCAAGGCACCAATACTTCATCACCCTCGCCCCCCTGCACAACCTGTTTATATGGTTTGGTGCATCTTTTGCCTCATATTTAGTCTTCTTCTCATCTTCTTGTGGAATCGCAACTCTGATCATCTTCTTGGTTGTAAACCAAAGCCCTGTGTTTGACACTCCCAGTGCTACTCCAGCACCATCTACTTTGACTCGCAAATTTCCAACCCAATCAGAAAATTGGTGCGAGATTTGAGTACCTGGAAATAAGCTTTACTTCTCTCAACAAGCTGATCTCGACTCAGGTTATGCAGCCTTTCAGTTCAGCAACCTGGGGAACAAGGTTAGCATCAGTTCACATGATATCAAGCTTGGTCTATGTACCACAAAATTTTGGTGTGGAACTTCAGAAGCACGTGCAAAGCAACCAGATTAAGTAAACATAAGAGCAAGTTTTAAGGTGAAAGCGGAATTTGGTGCTTTTCATTATTCTTAGATCAATTCCATCTAACATGATTTTTAAATCTACATTTCCATCTAAAATAGACTATTGATACCTCTCCACCATAAAGGCGAAAATCTTACTTTTGAATTGTCAGAGAACCAAGAAAATGTGTTTCCTGACCAGATAAGAATGCTGCTACGCTTGCTCCAAATTTATCGTCAAAACAATTAATTTTAGATCAATTCCATATATTTTGAATATTGATTTACCCAGCGTGCTCTAACGTGTGAAGGTTAATAATTTTTTATCAATATAAAATTAATAATCAGTCAGTCTATGAAAAAAAATCTAAAAAAATTAAAGTTATGGAGGAGTAAAGCAGAGAACATGCATCCTATATAAATCTTATCCTGGAATTTCATATTTTAACACTGCATAAGAAGTAATCAATGTACATTGATTATTACTCAAGGAAATGTTAATGTGATTGCCTAATTGCCATAGATTGATTGGAACATGAAATTTTGTTCATTAATAAAGTTTCTTTCTACAAACTGTTCACCTACAAATCAATCGATAATAAAGAATTATCACCTAAAGAGCCATCAATGATCTATCAAATCAATTAGCAGAAATCCTGTAAAACTTCAGGAGAGAGAAGCCTACCAGGCCAAAACTCCATGAACTTAAACCTAAACAAAGTATAGTTTCCAGGGAAACAGGGTTTAAAACAGGGGACTTGTTTGATGGCAGAGGTGAATTCGCAAAAGGGCTTATACTTATGCTTTCAATGGAAGTAGCCACTAATAAGCTTCCACGGAAAGTGCAAAACAATCCAAAGAGAAAGAGAAAGATTAATATCTATTGAACGACATAATGGATATAAGTTACCAAATGAAACAACTACTACAATAACATAAGCAAACAAAAGATCTCCGTAGATGGTACTTCCATTAAAGTCCTCAACGAATTATGATTTTCCCTAGTGTGAGAAAAGCCATTTAATTTAAATTGAAAAAGTAGAGACGGTTATGGTAGTAAGGAAAGTTGCAGGTTATGATTCTTAATTTAAATTATGTGTGTTCAAAAGTCTATGGCGAATGAAAGGATTTTAATTGATAAACAGAGGAATTTAATTAATTTGGAAACCACGATGATAATCTTCTTACGATAAAAATTAATGGAAGATTGAACGATCTGGCATTCACCATATCTAGCATTTCCATCCTGAACGAGAAGATGATCAAAATTGATGGAAAAATTAAAAGTTAGAGAAGGAGGACCTGTGTTAACAACAAAACAACCATTACAATAACATCTACAAATCAAATGTATTTTATATTACACAGAGGAAATTGATTAACAACTGCTAGTAATACTTCATCTCTACCAGAGCATTACCCAAACAATACAACAATCACACAATGCAGATATCGCCACCAATACTACACCATTCACAAGAAGAAGCACATAAAATCTTGGAATTACCTGGTTTATTCATGGAGATGCAATTTATCATGATCTTCCAACAATCCAAGATACATTGCTGTCATGATAGTAGAAAAACACAAGTCTTAGTTATTTATAGATAAAAAAAAAAAAAAAATCACACTGTACTTGATATCACGTTCTATAGCATTAACATGCGTTAGAAATTCATCAACTAGTAGCTCGTCTCTTGTAACTAGAGAATTTTTTGGCGTGCTATGGTAACAAATTGATATTAAAGGATCGGCTCTAAACAATCTATCATCTATATAATTTTAAATTCGAAAAATGATTGTGTTTGGCTGGGATTTGACTGAGAAAGTGCAACCACGTGAACTTTCTCGTCCAATCCTAGACAAAACATTGCATACATTGCTAAAAAAATTGTAGATACAGATAGGTCTCTAAATTGAATTATTTTATATCAATATTGTTCCTAATATTGCCACCAAAAAAAAAAAAAAAAAAACAAAATGGGCGACCAGAATCACGACTGTCGATACTGGATTTCGGAAATCGAAACGTAATCAATTAATTAAGGTTTTTTTTTTTTAAAACAAAACATATTAATAAACAAGTTATAAGAATATTTATTTACATTTATTTATATTAGATTTATTATATATAATATATAAAAAAATTCACATTTAGAAGTAAATTAAAAAATATACTTTTGCATTAAGTGAAAAGTCAAAACACACCCTAAGTCATTGCCTCATTTGCCATGAAAAATTATAAGATTTTCTTTTATAGTGGACATAATGTATAAAACCAAGTCACTCTTATACATTTAAATGGAGTACCTGTTGTTCACGAATAAGAGGATCATTACGTGCTCTTCAATCAATTGCTCAAAATCCACAGGCAAGAGATGAGAGATGCTTATAGTTGTGATAAGATAGTCTTTCCTTCCATTCAAAGTGACAAGGACTTCGGGTATATGTTGAGTAACTTTCTTCCACTTCTCATCTTGTATCATATAATAATTTCTTTCAACATAAGAATAAACAAAAGAAACTTTAGGTTTTCTTAGATGCTCAATTCCAATTGGAATCTCTTTCAATCGAGGGCATGGTCCAATATGTAAGTTTTCAAGGTTACACATTGCACTTGCTCATAATCATCAACTCACCCCTTTAAAGTCAAAGAGGAACAAAACTTTAGGTTTGGGAACCAACCTTCTTTGAAATGTAATTGCTCATCAGGGCATGTGTTTGTGTAGCCTAAGCTCTAATAAATTAGGCAGGGCCTGAAGGCTCTTATGGGATCATCAGTTAATCCTGACAAATCCAAACCAATTCTGACAAGATATTCAAGTTTAAAAATCCAATCTGGCAGCTTCTTCATATTTCCTTTTAGTAGAGGCGCTGAAGACCATGAGGAGGAGAAGCCATGGATTCTATGTCAAGAACTCGTCTCTACTTGTCGACTGTACAACTAGACATTCAAGTTTTCCATATTTGCAATGCAAGCACAAAGATCATTTCCATTTCCATTTTTCAGCCAAACTCCTAACTTTCTCAAATGTGTTAGCTTCCAGCTCTTCAGAGTTAGCTTCCACAAAAATAGTTTTACAGATCCATAAAGACCCTAATCCCCTGGTATTTTCACTGCTCTTCCATAAGTACCATGCTCGCCCAAACTGTATGCCGCCAGATAGCGCAATTTTTTCAAATTCTTGATTTCAATTGGGAGCATACTACGGCGAGATAGCTTCAAATTCAATGTCTCCAAGTTAGAAGTTACCAATGGACTTGGGAAGTACATTTACTTTTGATTTTTTCACACTTAAATAGTTGCAATGGAAGAGTTCCCACTCCTTCAGGAAGATATTCTATAGGACTATCTTCAAAATCAAGTACTTTTAAGTTTAAAATCCACAACAAGTGTCGTCATGAAAGAATTAGGCATCCTATCAACATTGAAAAGAGAAACAGAACGTATCTTTGAGTCCTTGATGCTCTCAGAACACTATCAGTGCTCCTTGTATTGAAACCGCCGACTTTTTTGCTAGAGAGATTTGAGTTTCTCTGTTCACAAAATGAGAGAAGCCCAAATATTCAGTCTTTCTAAGGATAATCTCGTGCATCAGATCATGGACTCGACAATATCTAGGTCTTCCCACGAAATCTGTCTCTACCACTTGAACTAAGCTTCTGTTAATGAGATCAATTAAGAATTTTTCAGCAACTTGTTCAGATGTGAGGCGTTTGGAATGAGGGACAAAGCCCTCAGCAATCCATAGGCGAATCAGTCTTGCACAATTGATTGAGTAGCTTTCTGGGAAAAAACCAAAGTACAAGAGACAAGATTTGAGATGGTGAGGTAGACCGTAATAACCTTCTAATAAAACTTTGTTGCAATCTTTTAGATGAGAATCTCTTCTAAACCGTGACCCCAAGTCATCAAGTAGCTTTTTCCATTCAAAAGTAGCTTTGTCCTTGTTTGAGAGAAGACCACCTACGGCAACAATTGCTAGTGGTAAGCCTCCACATTTCCGAAGGATGTCATGAGACAGTTTCTCCAACTCCGGGGGACAACACCCTTGAGGACCAAAAGCCTTTCTACGAAAAAGTTCAAATGCCTTATCTGAAGGCAAGGGTTGTATCCTACAGACATTAACAAAAGGAATCAGATCAACAATGCCCTTGTTTCTAGTTGTGAGCATAATCCTACTACTTTTGTTGTTCTCAGTTAAAGCATACTCTATATATCCCCAAAAATCAGCTTTCCACACATCATCAAACACAACCATGTAACACTTGTCTTTTAATTGTCTCCCTAGTGTGCTGAGCAGATCATTCTCTTCCATTTTGTCCATCTCTCCATAAGTAGGCCCTGTCACACCCTCAAATTCTTGTATAGCTTTCCTTAGAATATCCATTTTGGTGCATTCTTTCCCAACTGTGATCCAAGCCTGGCAATCGAAATGCTTTTTCACTCTATCATTCTTATAAATTTTCCCAGCAAGAGTCGTCTTGCCAAGTCCTCCTTCGCCCACAACTGCAACTACTGAACGGTTGGATGTTCCACTTACCAACAAACCAATCAATTGCTCTATAGTAGATTCGATGNTTGAAGATATTTATTTGTATTTTATAACTTTTCATTGAAGCTCATTGTAATAAAAAAAAAAAAAAGTGTAGTTATGATTGGTTTTTTTTTTTTGTTTTGTTTATATTTTGCCCCCATTGTGGGAAATTCCTAGATCCGCCACTGTGTATATCTCTCTCTTTTTATATGAATTGATCACATAGGGTAGGAGAGTTTTAATATTGTATCATTCCTTTAAAGTTTAAAGAATAATAATCTGAAATAATGAAGCAAGAGATTAAATAATAAGATCTTTAGCTAATATTAAAATTTGAACAGAAAGACTGCATAACAGAATCATTGACATTCAGGATACCACTTGGAAACTTATTAACTATTTATATATAAAACTTATAGCTTAAGTAAAAGACAATGGGAACTGGCCTTGGTCAGCAGAGCTTCAACTTTTATTATTGCTCATTTTCTCATGGCTTTGCAAATTTGAATGTCATGCATAAACCAACAGGAAAGCTCTCATCGCATCTGTACCCAGAGCCTCTCTTATTTTTGTAACCTGGATAATAATATTCGTAAAACCTTGCTTTTTCAACCAAAGACAGCCCTACTTCCGCCGCTAATTTCTCTATCTCCCACCTATCAAATGGATTAGAAGTTTTATGGGTTACATGAACTTCCCATTTCTCCTTCAGCATGTTCCTTGCACTTCTCAGAAAGCCTCTCATCACCAGATTTTGATGCATCCTTAGAAAAATAAAAATGAAATTGTCCATTGTTATCCATGACTAAATAAATTTACCTTGTTGATCCTTAAAATAAAATGTTGAAGCTTGTTTTTAGATAATTACGTTTAGCCAACTTACTCAATTTGCTGATAGCTGTTTTCCTTGTACATGAAACCTGCATGAAGAAAATTAAAGACAATTCGATCGAATGATTTGCCACATAAAAGAGGGTGATAGCTCATAGTATTGGCATCTACTCCATGCACAACTGTACGTCCACGCTCCTTCAGCTCTATCAAATTTAAGTTTGCTCTGGTTTGCATTAACATTTCTAGTATTTCCAGGATCAGAAGACACAAAAGTTTTAGAATCAATACGTCCAACATATACATTTATAGAAAAAATAAAATTAACAGGCTCTCTGGTTCTTTATACCTCTGGAGTCGCGAGAAGTGGCAATCATGTTGGCAGCAGAGCCAAAAGCATTGGCCAAGCATGCTGCAAAGGAGAAATCTCCCTCCCCCACCAGTAGTATTTGGTGAGCGCTGCTATAATGCTTTATTTTTTTCTCTCCTCCATTTACTACATTATACCCTTCCATAGTTTGCATCCTTTTCTGAAATTACTTAGCCATAAACTTATATCCAAGTTTAATTGAAGAATATGATTATGTCAGAGGTATTATATACAGCAAAAAACTCCTGGTTAGATTCACGATTCATTATCTGTGATTGTGAGATATGTCTCTTAGTTTTCTTCATTTCCTTAAATTCACTTATCTAGGGAAACGCAGGATATACAGTGGAAAATGAAAGGATATGTCATGGATTATTAATTAATAGTAAATTCCAATACACTTTCTAATTTAATGTCACTCAAAAACAGTTGCATTAACCCTATATGGATAAGTCAAGGATTATCTTCACTTCTTTCACCAAACTGTCCCTTAACCTGACAAAATTAAGTACTTAGCATATGAAGGAAATAGAGTTAACAATGAAGTGTCTGGAAAAACAGCAACTGAAATACTTAATGGGTAATTGCAAAATTATTAATTCTTCGTGGAAGAACTATTAAGTCCACATTCAAATGAATTTCCCTGCAGCACAACTGTGCATTTTGGAGTAACAGAGAGAAAGAAATGCAACATTTATCGCGATTTGCAGAAACATTAGAAAGTTCTGTATCCACCACAGCCAATCTGATTCCCACCATCAAAAGCTTGTTAAAGTTGTTCAAATCGAAAGGTATGATGCCAACAGAGGATTCGTAGTATATATCTCTTTCTTTTTTTCTATAAATTGATTACATAGGATAGGAGATTTTTAATATTTTATCATTCCTTGAATAAATAATCTGAAATAATGAAGCAAATGATTAAATAATAAGATCATAAACTAATATTAAAATTTGAACAGAAATACTGCAGAACATAATCATTAACAGTGAGGATACTACTTGGAAACTTATTAATTATTTATATACAGAACTTGAGCATCAAGTAAAAGACAATCTGAACTTGGGATCTGGCCTTGATCAGCAGAGCTTCAACTTTTATTATTGCTCATTTTCTGATGCCTTAGCAAATTTGAATGTCATGCATAAACCAACAGGAAAACCCTTATTGAATTTGTGCCCAGAGCCTCTCTTATTTTCATAACCTGGATAATCCGATTTGTAAAACCATGCTTTTCCAACCAAAAACAGCCCTACTTCCGTTGCTAATTTCTCTATCTCCCACCTATCAAATGGATCAGCGATTTTATGGGTTACATGAACTTCCCCTTTTTCCTTCAGCATGTTCCTTGCACTGCTTAGAAAGCCTCTCACCAGAGTTTGATGCATCCTTAAAAAAAAAAAGGAATGTCCATTATTATCCATGACTTAATAAATTTACCTGGTCGATCCTCCAAATAAAATGTTGAAGCTGGTTTTTAGATAATTACTAACTTACCCAATTTGTAGAGAGTCATGTTCCCTGAAAAAGAAACCTGCATGAGGAAAATTAAAGATAATTCGATCGAATGATTTGCCACGTAAAAGAGGGTGATGGCTCATGGTATTGGCATCTACTCCATGCACAATTGTACATCCACGCTTCTCCAGCTCTATCAAGTTTGAGTTTGCACTCGAATATTTCTTCGTTAACATTTCTAGTAATTCCAGGATTAAATGATACAAAGGTTTTAGAATCAAAAAGTCCAACATTAACATTTATAAGCAATATAAAATTAACAGGCTCTCTGGTTCTTTATACCTCTGGAGTCGAGAGAAGTGGCAATCATATTGGCAGCAGAGCCAAAAGCTTTGGCCAAGCAGACTGCAAAAGAGAAATCTCCCTCCCCCACAGTAGTATTTGGTGAGCACTGCTATAATGCTTATTTTTCTCTCTCCTTCATTCATTACATTAAACCTTCCATAGTTGTATCCTTTTATAAAACTACTAGCCATAAACTATATCCAAGTTTGATTGAAGAATATTGGTTATGTGAGAGACATCTAATCTGATCCCTTAAAACTTAAGTAAAGAATGGTTGCAGTATTTCACAAAGTTACCTGATTCCATCATCAACAGCTTGTTAAAGTTGTTCATTTGATTCCTCATCCACAAAGTTACCTGATTCCTCATCACTATATTGCCAAGCAATAGTAGTTGATTTGACCTGAAGAAAAGATATATACGATGTTGTCAGAAACTTCAAAACCAATGGTTCATATCCTAATAGGGTTTAAAGAAATAGTAATATCTGACTCGTCATATTTGTAAGAGTAGACAACATGTCAGATGGGTTTAAAGGAAGTTCAGGAATGCATGGACAATACGATAATGGTGGGGAAGGTCTTCCATATTTTGTGCGAATAGGGTTAATAGGGGACCTAATCAATTTCAATTCTTGTAGTTGTAGAGATACAGTTCTTGAGTTTTGGAAACCAACCTTCCTTGAAATGGAACTGCTCATCCCTTTCAATTCTTTGAGATCAAGAGCAATAAATTAGGCAGGGCTTGAAGTACTATAAGTTTGAGATGAGGCCCTGAAAACAGAGATATTCATCTTAAGTTATTTAATTGGTTAATAAAGTTAATAAATGGCAGCATCACCGAAACTTGATGATGGTGGAACTGGATTCCAGCCCGGCGACGAAGATGGTGATGGGTGGTGGAGGAGGCAACTGGTAAGGTAGATTTTCCTCTTTGGCATTTCTTGCTCTCTATATACATTTAAAGGATAAATAAAGCGAGGACTAGAGAATTAGCGGACAGTCAGGACATAAGAAATTGATCATAAATTATTTCACACATACATTACAGTTACTATAAATTGATCACATTTTTATTGTCTTCTTCATTGCGCAATTTGGCATTCTTGGTTATTTCTGAGAAGAAAGTTGAGGAATGCATAGACAATTAGGACAATTGTGAAGCAAGGTCTTTTATATTCCATGCAAACAGGGTAAAACAGAGGACCTCTTTTTTATACGCAAAGCTGTGTTCTCTTAAAGCCTTTCAACTGAAGCTTATGGCAATTAAGAAAGCTATAGGTATCCTTATATAGAACTCAAGTATTATTAAACAACAGAGTAGATAAATTTATAAATACAAACACCATGCGTAACAGTAGATGGTACTGCCGTCAGAGCCAAATATCTTTCTGAAAAAAAGTTCCTATGCTTTTCTGAAGGTGAAGGTTCAAGCATGTAGATATGAACAATTGCGAATCATACGGATTCAGCAATGGCCTATTCCGAGTAGTTAGCATTACACTATTGTTTTTGCTGTCATTAAGTAAAGCTCTCTCCAAAATTCAGTTTTCCACACTTCATCGAACACAATCTGTAATGCTTGTCCGCAAGTGTTCTCTCAGAGGCATGATCAGATTCTTCTCTTCCATTTGTTTGTCCCCATTAGAGCGGACCCGTTGAACGAAGTTCATGTATAATTGTCCTTGGTAGACTTTCTTCAAGTATTCTTTCCCAACTGTGATCCTGCATGGCAATCAAAATGCTCTTTGAGTACTAGGAAGCTTAATTTTTTTTTTTTTTTTTTTTTTTTTAAAATGACTGGTTATTGATAATGTTCCATGGAAACAGGGCAAAACAGGGCACCTATTTTGATTTGCCAGTGTCAATGAAAATGTATATGGATTGAGATCTAGCACATACAATTTAATTTCCCTTGTTTACTAATATCACCGTCATACAATAGAAAAAAAAATAGTAATTTAGTAGTTGATTAGGCAAAAATTACCATGAAGATTTCAAATTTGAATTGGAAAAACTGAAATTTTAGAGCATAAGTCTGGTAACATATATGACTGATATAAATGAAAGATGTGGATGGGATAAATTTGAGAGACTCTTACGCTGTATACAATGAGCTTATGTTTGAGAGACTCTTACACTGTAACAATGAGCTTATGCGTAGGGCTCTTAGGCTGTATACAATGAGCTGATGTGCACTAGGATAGATCTTAGACGGCCAAATTTAACCTTTAAAACAGTATTTCTTAGGTGAGTTTAACTTAAATTTAACATTAAGAACAATTCAGTTCACTCTGTAATATATATTTTTCCCTTATTGTTCTCCTAGAAAAAGACAGATATGCTAATGTGTTCTCCAATTTCCGAAATCCATTGAAAAAGGGAAAACAGGGGAGATGTTTTTTACAGGCAGACAACAACGATGACCATAACAGTTGCAACAACAACCACATTTCAAAGTGATATTACACAGAAAGTTTAAGAAAACTCCCTGCCCTACAACATGGAAATTACAAGAAGAAAACATTGACATTAGATACTGCATGCTGATAACAGGCAAATACTACACCATTATTGGCGAAACTACACACATGAATTACAAGCAATAGAACCTTTATTACAAGAAAAAGCCATAGTAATCCTAGGTGATCAAGGAAAATATTGATTTTTCCATCATACTTCATCTGTTTGACAATAGAAGATTTACATTAGTCAGCTAAATTAATTCATATAAGTAAAAAAAAAAAAAAAAAAAATGTAAAAAAAAAAAATCGATAATTTCGTTTCTGGCGGTGCAGGCAGTTCCGGTAACCGAAACTTTTTCAACATGCTGGGGTAACGAAATTGAATAAAATGATCGTCTCTAAACGATCTATTGTCTATATAATTTTAAACTGGAAGAATAATTGTGCTTGGACAGGATCTGACCGAGAAAGTGCGGCCATTACACCAATCAACTAAAGTAATTCATAGAATAAGTAAAAAAAGAAAAAAAAAACTGATAATTTTGTTTCCGGTGGCAGTGGGCAGTTGACTTTTTCGGCATGCTAGGGAACAAAATTGATATTAAAATGATCATCTCTAAATGATCTATTGTCTATATAATTTTAAACTGGAAAAATGATTGCGTTTGGCGGGATTTGACCGAGAAAGTGTGGCCATCCAAACTTTCTTTGCTAGATCATGGCCAAACGTTGCACATATTGCTAACATTAATTGTAGATACAGGTAGATCGTTAAAATCGAATTATTTTGATACCAATATTGTTACCTAATATTGCCAAAATAAATTCTCGTGACGGACTTGTGGTTGCGGGTACCAGATTCCGTAGCCGAAACTTTATCAATTAATTAGTTAATTTAAATAAAATAAAATATAAGAATATTATTATGATAATTAGACTTGTGTATTTTAAAAAAAAAATTCAGATAATTGATGATTAATTACAATTACTAGCAGATTAGAATTAATCCAACTATTAAATTATTAAAAAAAAAAACTTATCTTTGCCCTTAAAGAACATTTATGTGAGAGAAACACATATCCAAAAGGTACTTGTTTTAGGAGACTGACTTATTGATCCTTGATGGGGGGTACTCGTAACCTGCCTCAATTTGTTTAATAAGCTCCTCAAAATCTTCTGCCGAAAGAGATGACAGATATTTACAGTGTAAAAGAGTATTTTCCCTCATTTGTTTGCTTATAGCTGACATGTTGTGGAATGTTTTAGTGACATCTCCAGTTTCATTTTATCATGCAATAAACTCCTTCACATCATTTCAAATACAAGTCTTTTTAGGTTATGAGCTGCTCGATTCCAGTTGGAATCTCCTTCAACAATGGCATGGGTCCAATCACCAGGTTATAAGACTAGCATTGCACCTTTCCTACATCATGCATTTCAATCTTTTGAAGTTGTAGAGATAACAGTATTGAAGCTCTGGAAACCAGCCTTCTTTGAAAAGCAATTGTTCATCACAATCATGCACCTCGAGAATCAGAGTAGATAAATGAGGCAGAGCTTGAAGGATTGTCATGAATCATTGGTACATTCAACCAAATTATTCAATTCTAATCTGAAGATTTTGAAGTTTAGAAATCCAAACAGTTGGAATTCCATAAACATCCCTCCAAATGAAATCTCTGAAGATACAAGGAGGAGAAGCCAAGGATCAGAGGCTCTTCTCCACTTGTAAACGCTAATACACTCAAATCTTAAAGGTTTTCTATATCTGGACAATAGCAAACAAATCCTTCACATCTCTATCTGCGACCCTAATGCCCAACTTTTTATCGCCTCAGTCCTTAAGCTCTTAAGTATTTCACTGTTTGCATGCACTACCGTAGCTGCTGCAACTTGTTAAAGCCCAAAACCTTCTTGTATTTTGCTCTACTTCCGTAAGGACCTTTGTTGTCCAAGCGATGTGCAATTAGAAAACACAATTTTTTCAAATCTTGACCTCAACCGGGAGCTCTCACAAAGTCCACTTCAAATCAAGAGTCTCTAAGTTGAGAAGATGCCTATGGACTTGGGAAGTTCTTTAACTTTTGTATTTTTCAAACTTAAGTAGTGGAAATGGAAGAGCTTTCACTCCATCAGGAAGAAAATACAAGGGGCATTTTCAAAATCAAGTATCTTTAAGAGCTGAAATCAGCAACAAATGTAGTCATGGAAGCCTCGGGTAATTTGTCTACATTGAAAAGACAAATGGAACAGATCTTTGAATTTTTTATGCTCTCTAAAGCACCATTTGCGCATTTGTCTATTGAAATACGCTGAGTTTTATTAAGGTGACTCAAGTCTTTTTCATTAAAGAAATGACAAAAATCACATTCCTTCATCTTTCGGCGATGATCTCGTACATCAAATCATGAACTCCACAACTTCCAACTTGTCTAGAAGGATTTTTTTTTGAACTTAAACCAAGGTTCTATCAATAGATCTTTCAAGTATTCTTTTGCAACATGCCAGATGGAAGGTGGTTGTTGCATTGGACAAAGCCCTCAGCTATCCAGAGGCGAATTAATCTCCAATCTAATTTCATAGCCTTCTGGAAACACACCAAAGTATAAGAGACATGTTGAGATGGTGAGGGAGGTCATAATAACCTTCAGACAAAATTTTGTTGCAAACTTTGAGAGGGAATCACTGCTTGATTTTGAGCCCAAAGCATCAAGATATATTCTCCATTAGAAACAATCTGTTTTTTTCTTGAGAGAAGCCTACCCATCGCAACAATTGCTAGGGGTAGACCTCCACATTTTCCAATGATATGCTCCGAACATTCCTTAAGTTTGGAGGACAACACCTTCAGAACCAAAGCCTTCATGCAAAAAAGTTCCCATCCCTCTCTGAAGACAAGGGTTCA